AATTTTGGTCTATACATTCTAAAATGTTATTGTTGTAAAATTTACTATGCGAATTATTCACCTCAAGTTTACACTAGCCGTTGTCATGGAAACTATGTTTCTCTTTAAGTTTGTTGGGCGCGAGGAGAAAAACAAAGTGGGTAATATTGGCGTCAAAGAAAACAAAGCGATTTTTTTTTTAATTCACCAAGAATATCTTACTGAAATTTAGAACAAAACATCGGCAAGAACAAGATTTGTTTTAGAATATTTAGAAATAAGCTGATTTCTTATTATAATTTTTTTTTAAATATATTTTATTACTATTTTTTAACTATTATTATTTTATTACTATTTTTAAAATTACATTATTTTTAATCTTTTATTAGCACAAAGGCACCAATAACTTCAATGACTTTAATCAAGAAAGAGTCATAGTAAAAAATGTTGTTACAACCAGTGCCGGAACCTATTGATAAAAATATTTATTCTGCCAAAATTACCAGAATTCCAGAAGGTTATAAACAGTTTTCTCACACTTGAAAATTACTAATTTCAAGAACAGCTTACAAACAAGGAATGTGCATAGTTTTAAGTTTTGAGAATGAAGAGCCTGTGTTTGGAAAAACAATTATTATTCTGTGAACAGGCTCCAAAGTTTTATTTGTGTGTAATCTTTCTAAATCTTGCTGTGTTTCTTACAATCAACTGAAAAATATGATATAGTTAAAGTAATAGCACCAGAAAATCTATAATAATGAATATGTAAAGAAATTTGGGTTTTTCTCAAATACTCACCATCATTTACTAATTTGTAAAAAAAAATTGCAGTGTTTTTTTATAAACTGTGTGAAATTTTAATTTTTTTATCAAGTAGTAAATTATGTTTGTAAAATGGTAATTTAGTTATATTGTAAATTTTAATTCAGATGAGGCAGAGTATATCAAGAAATTTAGTATCTTATTAAAAGATTGAAAATTATTTTCAGATAGTCCCAAATTTCAAAACAGTAAAAATTGAGGCATAACATAATTTTTATTTTAAATTACTGTAAATTAAAAATAAGTTTGAATTGAATGCACCCTTAGTAACAAAAACATACTATCTATCATTTTGAGGGAATATTTTGTATTTTTTAATGAATGCTGTGGTGTGCATAAGAAGTATAATGTATTTAAGGTTTTGCATAAAAATTATTACATTCTGTCTATGAATACAAACATCAAAGAAATTAATAAATTATGTTTGAATATTGATCTGTATAGTTTTTGTTAATATTTCCAAGATATGTCATTATTTTTACAGTTCTTATTTTACTTCAAATTTATTATTTCCACGAGCCAATGTAATTAATATTGGAATGTTTCCTTAATTAGAGATTGGGGGTTGACCAATCCAACATTTGTCTACTTTTTTATAAAAATTTTAATTTGTGAAAGTAATATTTTGATTTTTAAATAACAAAATAATTTCAAAATACATAATAAGAATTTGCTTCAGCCTAAAATTAGAATTCTTTTTCCTTTTCTCTTTAAAAAATCAGCTGTATTAACTCTATAACATCTGCTGGTGCTTTAACGAATGAAATGTAAAAAAGAATTTCAATTTTATCAACTGAAAGAAAGAAAAAAATTTTATATGAGAGAAAATATTTTTAAAGCGCCAAAAAGCAGTGAAAGTTAGTATCATTATTAAATATTTATAAAAAAAGGAGAAGATAATAAATCAAATTTATATAAATAAAATTATAATTAAATTATTTAAATCTATAAAAATTAAAAGAACTATTTTTATTTTAGATGTGTTATGTAATATATATATATATATATAAATTTGATTTATTATCTTCTTTTTTTTAATAAATATTTAGTAATGATGCTAACATTCTCTGCTTTTTAGCACTTGAAAAATACCTAATAATGGTGCAACCTTCCTCGCTTTCAGTTCCTTTCAAAAATACGAAATCATGGTGCAACCTTCCTTCGCTTTTAGTTCCCATCAAAACACTTATTTTTGGTGCAACCTTTCCCTGCTTTTAGGTCTTTTCGAAATATCTATTTTTGGTGCAACATTCTTCCGATATTTGGAACTAGTAAGAGCACCAACATCTAGTGAAAGTGAGTACCATTTTTGTAGCCAGAAAATGAATTTTAAAGTTTGGCCAAAAAAAGCTCGAAATTTTTTACACTGTGTTTAATATGTTACACTTTTTTTTTAAGAAGTGGCAGAACCTTGGATTTATAATTTTAATAAGGTGCCCATCTTCTATTAAAATAACCTATAAAATATGTAATGTATTTCTCGATGGCGTTGTTAGTTTTAATCATTTCAGAAATTTAATTATTTTCAACCATGAACGTTAATACTACATTCTACTCTGTCATCGCGACGCTTTTCTAAAAGTTTTTCCTAGACCAATAGTCTCCTGCACCCTCTAACAGCATTTAAAGGAAACAAGTTGATATAGTAGATTTGAATATTTGACACACAACTGTTTGCAATTCAGTGTTTCGGCCATATTTTTGTTATTTCTGAACGGCTACATTTGTAGTTTGAATGAAGGATAATTCTTTGTGATTTACAGTTTTAATATTGAGTTTTTATACTTCATTTCAATAAAAATTATTGGATTTATGTTATTGTTTTGAAATTTCTTCATATAGTATACATACGATTTTCTAATCATTTTCACATCTTTTATCTTAGATTTAGCTCTAAAGTATTTCCGTCATATATTTATTTACACTTGTTTTTTTCATTTTGTCACAGATTAAATGCTACTCTAAACAGAGAGAAAAAAACCCACAGATAACGCTTTTTCGTATTTATTCTTTAATTAGTTTAAAAAAAATATTAAACAGTGCAAGTCATCCGTGTGAATATGTATATTATTCAACATAAAAATAAATTTAAGTACAAGAAAAGTCAAAAATTAAAATATTTTAAATATATCCTAATTTACCTTACAAAAGGGGCTTTCTTCTTTCGTGAAAACGCGATATTCTTAAAGAATTAACATTAACTAACCAGATGAATTCAGAGAACTTCATAAATTCGATTAAAATAAAAAAGAAAACGATAAACTCATACTAGCCAGTAGTGAAGCTTTTTGTTTGGCAGAGCACTGAAAACGTTTGGGTGAGTGTTGTCACTTAACCACTCATTATTTTTTTTAAACAAAAGCTTGTTTTTAAATGCTAATATTTAAGTGGTTTTTATATATTACTTTGTGGTTTTCAGGCTATTTGTTACCTAATGTTCTTTAACTAAAGTCGGGTAAAAATAGACTTTTTTCTTCCGAAAAAGTATTTAAATAACAAAGATTTCTTTTCATAGAAAGCTTTGTTACGTTATTATAAATGAGACCCAAAAACTCCTGTACTCTTCCCTCTTTTTAATTTTATAACCGTCGTTGAACAGCAGACCCAATTCTGAGTTGACGACTACCAATGTTCAACTGCGTATCCTTGTCATTTTAATCCCAATCCAGAAGACAAGGGAGCTTCTGGATCAGTACCCCCAGAAGTATTGATCTGTTATGGGAACTTGGAAGACTTTGTGACCCCGACTGATTTAACGTGCAGCAGTCCCCATTTAATACACGGGGATTCTTCAGCCGGCTGGATTCGAACTCCAGTTCTCACAAGCACGACTCCAACGCCCTACTAACCAGGCTATCCAGGCCCCTTCCCTCTTTTTTTGAGAAAATAAATGGAAGTGATTTGAGAGAGGAATTGCATTTTTTTTTTACTTAAACAAAGGAGGCATATTTTCCGATCTATTTTTTTCTCTCTGAATTACATAAACCCAATCCCTAGCTGATCGGACAAATAGTTTAGAAGTTACATATAAGGGTTCTATTTACAAAAAATACAAATTTGCACTTACACATCTGATATTGCCTTTAAACAATGGAGACATTGTTACCGATGTATTTTCTTAACTTTGAATCTATAGAGATTACGCATGAATCAATAAAACAAATAGTTTAAAAGTCGCACCAGTTATGTATAAAAATTACTACTTTTGACACACGTACTTATGTATACACTTTAGTTTCGTTTATTTTGTTTTAGTTAATGAGCGATAGCAATTTTAAGTGCTTTTTTACAAATTTGTTTTCACTTTATTATTATTTATTTATTTGCTTTGTGTTACATTTTTCTCTGCTTCTCAAAATCGATAAGACATAGGAACTCAATGATTTCGATTCTATTATTGTGTTCGAGAATTATTTACCGATAAGCTTGTAGTGAAAATAAATTACCCTGGTCGATCTCAGGGCTAAAGGTCGATCTACTGTCGCTGAAATGCAACTTCTGAGTTGAAATTTGACATGGTGAGGATCATTTTGAAATTTAACGAGAGATTTTTTTGAAATTTCTATTTGTTCGACACTTGCAATTTTAAGAGCTTTTTTACATTCTTTTTCTTTAAATAATATTTTTTCCCCATTGTTGTAGAAAAATGTATTTCTCCATTTCGTTTTGATTAACATATTAATAAATGCATTTACTTAAAATCATACATTGATGAACAAAACGATCTTTTTTATGAACTTATGAAGAAAAAAAAATGACGGAAATCAAGAGGAGAGAACTGTCCGTGAAAGCTGATTCTGAGAGAAAATGAATAAGCGCCGCATGGACAGCAACTGTGTTTTTAGCACATACACATCTCCACTGCGTAATTACTTTCGGGGAGAAACTATTTTCCATGTTATTGATTTATCAAATTGATTCTCAAAATGCTACTAATGGCAAATCAATCGTAATTTTTTAAGAAAAAGGGCATGAGCCATTCTCCCCCCCCCCCCCGATCTNAGTGATAAATGAGAAGCAACTTCGTGGATTAGTGAGCGAAGAGAATAGGGTCGGAGCTTTCCAGTAACAACTAAAAAACAGTAGTCTGGATTTTGATTCCTTTGAAAAAATTCTATTATCTCATATTTTGCGACACCTTTTGTCCGATAAATTTTAAAAAATGTTAATGAACAAAACAAAAAAACATCTAATACAAATAATAGAACGAAGTACACAACTTTATTTTTAACTTCGAGCTTGAAACAATTTCGAACATTGATATTACAATAGATTAATGATCACAATAGTGTATTAGAGAAACTCTGATAATAATTGTTGATTTCGATATTATCAAACGTTCCCATTTGAGTTGAAAATAAATGTTGCTTCAAATAAATTCATACATACCCTTTTTACAACTTTGAATTAAAAGAAAGTAACATATAATGTAAATTTATAAATCCTTATTGTACAAACATTTTCTCTAGATAAGTTTCGAGAAAAGTTAGTCTCACAAAATCATCTATATATATATTTCTCTTACACGGCGACAAAAAAAAGCCTCATTACAACTCCCCGAATGGCAACGTTAGAAAGTCGACTAATGATTGCCGCGAAGCGAGCTTAGTTTGCGAAGCAAACCATATAAGATTGCGTAGCAATTTTCAGCGGTTGGCGAGCGTTAGCGAGCAGGGGGCGCAGCCCACTAGTTAAATAATATTAAAATTAAGATTAAACTGCATTTTAGAAAGAATTAAGATTACAATATTTTTTTCTCTGCAGAACTCTCTCTGGATGATAGGCACGAACTGATGATTCAAAACAACCTTCGATCATGCATTCCAAAACCCAGTTAAGTTTGATGAATAAACGCATCGCTCCTAAGAAGCTCGGAAGGGCTCTAATTTCTTGGGTGCGCACATACTTCGATTTTGTCAAAATAGAAGAACAAACTGGTGTCCTTAGCTTTTTCTGCAGGGTTTGTCAAACGAAAGTTCTTCAAAATGGTAGTGACAAACAGAAAAACTTGCAACATGGCGAATCCTTCTCCCATACAAGCACGCTTACCTGTGAAGAGGGAAAAAAACACGATTGGAATATTATATTTTTAAAATGCATGTAAATATAGTTCACAAATTTTCCAATCTATTTTGCCTCTTTTTTTACATCTCATTGTATCTCTTGGACTAATAAAGGATATCTTTTTAAATATTTTTATAATTATCTATAAACAAATATGGGTATTTTGGGTATACTATCTGACGCACAAGTTCTTTATGTAACCAGTTTTAAATGAATTTCACGTTGCAAAAAGTTATAAAACAAATTTACAGAATGTCTTCCCTTACATTAGCACAAAATCTGCTTTTGGATTACGCGAGTGTTGGAGTGATATATATATATATATATATATATAAAAATTT